GTTTGGGGAGGTGGGGTGGGAAGGAGATGCTTTTCTAATCTCTGAAATTGGGCTCATCTTGGGGTTGTCTTGAAGTAACTCAGCCTTTTAGATGTCTTGGGTTGAGGTGATGGATCAGGACGGGTAGCAGAGAATGTGGGCTAGCGCCTCCATTTTTACTGATTTCTTTATTTCATTTCAAAATAGGAAGGGTACAAATGTTTTTGTTACATGATAGACTGTATGATGTGAAGTCGCGGCTTTCAGTGTTCCAGCCGGCACGGCAGTGCTCACTGTCCCCAAGAGGTGACTTTCTATCTCTTGTCCCCTCTTCCCCTTTAGATCCAAGATGCTTTGTGCCCTCGTGTCCCATCTTTGAGCTCCCACTTACTAGTAAGAACATGCGGTGTTTAGTTTTCTATTCCCAAGACACTTCACCAGGATAATGATCTCTAATTCCATCCAAGGTGCTGTAAAAGACGTTATTTCATTTTTATTTTTATAGTGAATAGAACTCCACAGTGTGTGTGTATCCACATTTTCTTTATCCACTTGCGAACTATTAGGCAGTTAGATTGATTCTGTATCTTTGCAACTATGAATTGTACTATGATAAACATTTGGGTGAATTGTCTTTTTGATAGAATGATTTCTTTTCCTTTGAATAGATACCCAGTAGTGGGTTTGCAGGATTGAATGGTCGGTCTACTTCCGGCTCTTTGAAGACTCTCCACGCCATTTTCTGTAGAAGTTGCTCTGTTTGTGCTCCCACCAACAGCGATGAGCGTACCTTTTGCCTGCATCTGCTTTTTTTTTCCTTTTTAATACTGGCCATTCTAACATGGAAAGGTGGTATCTCATTGTGGTTTTAAAGTGCATTTCCCTGATGAGTCACGATGTCGAGCATTTTTTCAAGGTGTTGGCCATCTGTGTATCTTCTTTTGAAAAGATTCTGTTCATGTCTTTTGCCTGCTTTCTGATTTTTTTTTTTTTTCAGGCTGATGTCTTCGTAGATTCTGCGTCTTAGTCCGGGGTTGGACGCTTAGGTTGTGAATGTTTTCTCCACTGTGTAGGCTCCCTGTTCACGCTGCTGACCCCGTCCTTTGCTGTCCAGAAGCTTTCTAATTTAATTACGCTCCAATCACAGGCCTTCCTTTTCTTTCTTTTATCACTCTCTTCAGATCTGTTCTATTTATAAGAGCTCTAGCGTTGTGTAGTTCTGCTCCTTAAATTCTTACACTAGCTGCCTATAGAAACTCTGCGATGCTTTTTGCATCCTCCAAGACGGAGATGTGAACGCAGGAAGCAGCTGTTCAGAGGTCACAGGTGGAAGGATTGGGGGGAGGTAGCTCTTGGGGCCTCTTGCCAAGATATAACAACGCCTCCTGGTACCTCAGCCACCTTATCTTTAAACATTTATTCTATTCCTTAATTTATCCATTCATTCCTTCATTTATTTATTCATAG